TTCTAGAAAAGGCAAAATTCTAGTGATAGAAAGCGTATCAGTCTAATCGGGGCAAGGAGGTCGGGGGAACAAACTGACTGCAATGAGGCATGAGGATTCTCTAGCGGGACAGAAATGTTGTATATCATGATTATGGTGGTGGCTATGTGATTACACATTTGTCAAACATCACAGAATTCCACACTTAAAATTGGTAAGCTTGATTATACATAAATTATATCTCAATAAAGCTAACCAAATAACAGGGAAAAATAAAAGTATAATGAGATACCATTTCACAACCATCAGTCTGGAAACATTTTAGAGTCCAAAAATACTATAAGCTGACAAGGAACTGGAGGAACAGGTAGTTTACTCTTATATATTACTAATGGGAGCAAAGACTGCTAAACCATTTTGGAGTGCTAAGGATGTACACAACTTATGACTGGCAATTTTACTTCGTTATATAGAAAAGTCCTTATAGAAAAGATTTGTACAGACACTTCACGAAAGATACATGGCTGGTAAATAAACACAATGAGAAAATGCAAATTAAAACCACAGTGAAGTACTGCTGTACATGTGCTAGAATGGCTAAAATGGGGAAGACTGACAATATGGCAAGCATTGTCAAGGGATTGGAACTCTCCTAATTTGCTGGTGAGGATCCAAAATTGTTCAGTCACTTTGGAAAACAGTTTGGCATTGGCCGGGTGCAGTGGGTCATGCTTTTAATCCCAGCACTTTGGAAGGCTGAGGCAGGAGAATTGCTAGAGTCAAGGAGTTGGAGACCAGCCTGGGTAACATGGAGAAACCCCATCTCTACTTTGGACATACCGTGCAGGTGGGTCACATGCCTTTAATCCCAGCCACTTGGAAAGGCTGAGGGCAGGAGGAATGCTAAGAGATACAAGGGTGCAGGAGACTCAGTCCCTGGGTAACCATGGAGAAAAAACCCATCTCTACTTTAACAAAAAAAAAAAAAAAAAAAGGTTTGGCCAGCTTCTAGACAAAATATTAAACATACACACTGACCCTATACATAATATTTCTCCTATGCACTTAAGAAAATGAAAACATATATTTCACAAAAAAAGACTAATAGTGCCAAATTGTTACTAACACGATTGCAATTTTTATTTCTAAGGAAGAACAAACATACCCAAAAAACAAATCAATGTTCATCCAAGTAGAGAAAATAAAAAACTATAGTAGTCGATACAACAGAATACTACTCCCAACAGGTAAGAGGAAATAATGAGAAAGGAAGCAACACAGATGACCTCAATCGAAGCATTATGCCACTAAATACGAAGAAGACAGACAGGAAAGTCTGTACTAAGACTCACCAATTATATCAATTCCCTAGAAGAAGCCGCCAAAATTCCAAGTCGAAAGAAAACGCGTATCAGCTTACCCTAATCCGGGGTGCAAAAGGAGGTCGGGGGAACAAACTGACCTGCATGGGAGGCATGAGGATTCACTCCTAGGCGCGACAGAAATGTTGTATAGTCCATGATTAATGGTGGTGGCCTAGGTGATAACACCATTGGTCAAACATCATCGAATTCCACACTGTAAAAATGGTAGCTTGATTTACATAAATTAATATCTCATAAAGCCTAACCAATAACAGCGGGAAAAATAAAAGTATAAAGCATACCCATTTCACAACCATCAGTCTGGAAACATTAAGAGTCAAAAATACTATACAGCCCCTGACAAAGTGAACTGGAGGGAACAGGTAGTTTACTCTTATATATTACTAATGGGAAGCAAAAGACTGCTAAACATTTGGAGTGCTAGGAGGTACACAACGTTAATGACTGGCAAATTTTACTGTCGTATATTAGAAAAGGCCCCTTATCCTTTGTGCCTTTGAAACACACACGAGATGATTCCCAGCAGTTCCTGTTTTTTCAAAGCAAGAATGAAAACAGCCTAAATGTTCAATCAAGAGAAGACTGGAAATAAGGTAAACTGTGGTAAAAAGGTCCCACAAA